CTTGGTCTCCTTCACGGGTTCCGGTTGAGAGCCTTCGGCCCTAGCGGCGGCTCTGGTCTTGGCCATTGTGAAAGGGTTGCCGTGGCGCTGTCGTCCAGCCTCTTTTACTGGCAGAAAGTTTCGCGTTTTCGCGAGGACGAGCGGACCGAGCCGAGACTCCAATGGCGTTCAATTCGAGCTTTTGGGAAGTCAATTCGACCGGCCAACACTATGCGACCGAAAGAGACGAAAGTGAGCCGAGGCAGAGAAGACAATGCGCGTCGGTCTTTGGCTGCGCAAGATTCCTACTCCGTCACTCAATTGGCTCTTTTGCAACTAAAGGTGGGAGGAACTTGCGAAAATTAAAGCGGGGCGACTCTTATCTTATCGGAGCTCTGACGGAACTATTCCGTTGCCTTTGACTTATACGACGACGGACGACCATAGTCTTTTTTTGTTCTTGGATACATGTCCTCCAAAGAATTGAAATACATAGTCGGAGCGAATCAATATCTTGATTTTTAATAAGCCTTGTTGTGAAATCCTCGATAATTCTTGTCGAAAATATCACCAAATATTATGGCTGTGTATTAGCTATACAAAACATGTTATATATATGTATCTTTCTTGCTGCTCCGTCTTAAATAATAAAAATTTCTAAGTATAAAGAAAAAAATAAAAGATTAACCAGATACTTCAGATATTTTCCTATGATTTAAGCTATTTTGGATCGCTTTTTATATTGCCATAATCAAATATTGAACTATTTCGCCAAATTGCTACACAGACGCCGTTAGTAGATTTCTGCTCCGTGAATAGCGACAACCGCCAAAGACATGAGTTTCGTTCTTTATTAGAGATACTGGCGTTCACATATTTATGAACTATGAACACGGACTATTCAAAGACAACGTCAGTCGAATAATCAAGGAACTCTCGGTAAGCAGTCCAATTCATCACATGTTTATTTGTATACTAACATTGTGGATAGGAAGTGGACAATGGCTTCAAGTGTCATCGACTAGGTAGAGAACATTCTCCAGGCCAATGCCTCTCATTGTGGACCAACCAATGAGATCCACACTGGTAACGATGATTCGGGAGACCTGGTTGCCATGGGCGAAATGTTGCGTCCCGCGTCCTTGGGCATCTTTCTGATCACCTGTCACAAGTTTATGAGCACAGAAATGTACTCTGCGGGCGCATCGAAGGAGACAGTCCGAGCCGCCATTACTTTGAGCGGCATTACATTTGCAATCAGGATGACAGGCCAAAGATCGACGACCTTCAAGGCTGTGGTCGACACGACCACAGGGAACGACTTCAGGAGACCTGAAGGGCATTGTGTCCGCCAGGGAAGATGTGTCAAAGACGTAATGGTGTACAACAAGAAGTATGAGAAGAGACACCGGCTTAGACATGGACAACGAGGACTCGGCCGACGTCCGTGTTATAGGTGAACGCCTCCACATTGAATATTTGGCGTTTTGCATTCCGTCATACTCGATCGTATAGGAGGCTTTGTTAATTAATATCACAAGGTTGGGAGTATCTGCAACGATTCGTACGGAAGTTCACAATCGAGACGTAGAATACTTAGGTAGGCCGAGCCTCTGCTTCGACCTGGTGCACCAGCGTAACCACATCCGCGCACTGGCCCGCCTCAGGTTTCTATATGAAACGGTCATGGCTACCTTCACGGCCGCTGGACAGTCTTCACCTGCCGATTCCCCCGATCCCGTGTCAGAGCAGCTCCGGGTGTTGACTCCACTTACGGCCGACTTGTGTCCCACTATTACGGAGGGTCAAAAGGGAATCCCCGACCCCGTTCTGCAGCTTGGTTCTTTCTCCTAGTTCACACATGATACACCACTTGTGGTGGCATGCCCATCACGATGTGGTTCATCCCCGGCCCATCTGGAAGCTCAATAGTGAGATAGAAAGCTCGTGGCTTGCATACAGGATTGCAAGCTCACCAGCTTAGAATTACAGCACACTGCTTCCCCCACGGTAGCAGTTTCCAACATGCCAAACTCTGAATTTGATCGTGATATCCCTCTTATAGCTGTGCTTTGCCGTTACTTACGGGCATCTTTAGTGCTCTTGACAGCAGCTCTCCATATCAGTGGTGCTGTACATGCACTCCTGTCCGGCCCCCGAAGACGGTATTCCTCAGGGGAAACAAAGGCGAGACAAAGACAGCATGGCTATCGAAGATCCAAAGGGAAATGTAGTAGCGATGGGAAGGTGCCTGAAGAATGTAGTGGCGTGTAACAAGAAGTTCAAAAAGAATACCGTGGTCGACCATGGCCAATCCCACAAACTCTCTGGGGTCAAGAAGTTGGTGGAGAAGCTGGGTAATGCTACACACCGGATTCAGATGGATAGTACCGTAAGATCGCTATCGACCGTACGGTCTCACGTGCTGTAAGAAAATAGCTGGCTGGAGAGCATTATAGTACAATTATCAAGCCTACGTAGGATCCGTCTCCCTCCCTACCTATCTATTCAGAGGCGAAGTGGCACACAGAAGGTCTGAAGCCCCCCATAGGGGAAAATGTGTCACTAGTGGCTTCACAGTATTGCTGAGAGAGTTCTATTACGGGAGACCTGTACGTGGCATACAAGTTTTCTCTACCAGATGGCAGGCACGGCATCCAAGCAGGTCCCTTGGTATTGTTTCGTTGGTCGGAACTACAGCAACACCAGTACGAATACAACCCTGTGATGGCGGCAGCACCATGCTTCCACATGGCTGCCGCCGGCCTTGTAGTAGCACACAATCAGGCCTGTATTGGTAGTTTCCTCTGAGTGGATTTATCCTCCAACGCCAGAGACTTTTTTTCTCGCTTCCGATTTGATTGCATCATGGGATGAATCTCCCCAGTTCTGTCTTGGTTATTCTAGCTGCAACACCAATTCGTCCTTCCGCCGTTGAATTCCCAATCGACCTCCCACACCACCTCAACAACCACGTTACGAGCCAGGTTCATTTGTGGCCCAGAATCCAACATCCGAAAGACGTCAACACTCTAGTCACGACCCAGCAGTTGCCAATCTGGAGATTGGCTACCTCTCTCTACCTCCCTCTACCTCCTTCCTAGGTACCGATTCCTCGCCTCTCCTCGAAACCATCAACCACTTCCTTCCACCTCTCAGGTGCTTCTCGCGTCATGCCGGTGGTCTTCCATCTGCCTGGCCACCGGCATGTTCACACATTCACCTCGACCGCCAGGTCTAGATGCATTCCCGCCGATATCAAACAAGCCTTGGCCATCGCGTGCCTTCCCAGCAGACGACATCCAACACCAAGACGAACCTCACCGACTTTTCGTGAGGCAGGTACCCAGAGGCTGCCAGGGCAAAACTTCTCAACTCCGTTTCGTAGCACCTTCCTCGACATCCAAACTTCTGCCTCTGGTCAGACGTCTAGAAGCTGATCACGCCACTCTATTCTGGCCGACAATCGGTCCCGAGAGATGGCCAAGACTTGTGCTTGTGCCTTTTGTCGTCTTCTTCCAGGAGCCTTGAAGCTACTCGAGTCTGTCTTTTCTTCACCCTTCCATCGTTAGCCATTCCGCCCGCAACTGAAGATTTGAACACGCTCCATTTTCTCTCTCTCTATCGTCGTACCACCAGTCAAACAGTCCACGAGAATCAACTGCCATTTCCCGACTATCAAAGCACTCCGGTCACCCATTTCACAACCGCAATCATGTCCAGCAACAGCACCGATCAGATTCTCCGAGACCATCGCGAACTCGAGCTCGACCCTACGATGCCAATCCGCTGGTATCGCTTCCGAGACGAGAGCAAAAACGACCCTGCCTTCTCAGCTTGCGATTCGTCCCTGCGCCAAAGCGCTCTCACCTTCGATCGAATGGCAGGCGACCAGCAGGAGATCCAGGACCTCCTGGCCAAGATCGAGAAGGCCAAGCGCGACGACGGCGGACACGGCCCCGAGTCCACCCGCCTCCAGGAGCAACTCGCGGGCGCGACGGAGCAAGTACTCAAGCTCCAGCAGGCCCTCCAGGAGGAGAACATCAAGATCCAGGCCGCCCTCCAGAAGCTCCACCGGCGCGAGTCGGCCAAGTTGGGCTCCAGCACTGCCTCGCCCGCGCCCGCCGAGAAGTAAGTACAAAAGTGTTCTTTTTCTATATAATAAACAATAAACTAATGCATAAGTAGGTGAAAAAAGCTCATGAAAATCGTCTGATAGCTGGTTTGAGCAAAAATAATTTCGGTAGAAAAAGCTATAGCAGAACGTAGAAGAGATGAAAATGAGAACAATTTTGTGCACATACACTGAACTTTTTCTTTTTCGGATGATATTTGCTTATAATATTTCCGAGCATATCGTCTCATCATTTTGATCTATTTCTATTGCTTTAAGAACAAGATCGAATCTGGAAAAACGTGCAAGAGAACAATGCAGTATCAAGAACTCGCATGGAGATCGTCCAAGATGGCACACACAGAGCGATGGTAGAGCCTCAGAGGAGCAACAAACATTAACAACATTGAGTTCGGCCGTGTCGTAGTCTATCTATCTGCCTGGACAACTATTTGCGCGTTGCTGCCAATTGTTGGTGGGTGTTGATGGTATACAAGACCTAGCCTGTTGGTGTTGTCCCTGAATCGACAAAGTGGTTGAATACAACGAAATAACAAAAATGAGTACATAGAATTAATTGGAACTTGTGCACTTGTGAGAAAACAAATTCACCAGGCCAAAATTCACAAGGAAGAGATCAATACAACAGAAATGCAGATCATACGGCAATGCTCGGCTGGTTGCATCTTACACTTTTCTAACCGCAATGCGCGGCCACAAAGCTTGGCATAGCGTTAGTAGTCAACGCGCAACTACCGTCAAGCATGTGGAACCTTGTCCCTGACCATCTTTTAGACGGAGAGACATGTCCATTCCATTGGTACCGGCCACAGTGCTGCCTGGTGACAATCGCTTGGGCTTCGCCCTGTATTAGTCTACAATAACGACCAACTTTCCCAACCTTCCAGCCCCGCTGGCTCAATGGTAGAGCATTAGACTTCTACGTCTGTTCATACAGAAAGGCATCTAAAGGTTGCGGGTTCGACCCCCGCGTGGGGTTCTATTCCTCGAAAGAATTTTTTGCTGGATCTGTCGGCCCCACTTTCAATCATTTTTACGTGAAAGACAGCAAAATCAGTTTTTTTTTTACCTGGTTAATCCCTGGTTTGGCATCTCAGATGTATCGCCGAGGCAAGAATAACTGACTATGCATAGAAATAGAGAGGACAAGCTTTCACACTCCGTGAAGTTTGCATTCTCATCCAAACTTGACGTTGGGAGAGTGTCGTGGTTACGCATTGCGGTTTAAAATGGTCACGGGAATAGCCATCCTCTATATTATGACTCAGTGTATTCATAGCTATGTGAACCATAGCAGCTCATGTTTCCGTAATTTGATCAAGTCTATCATGGTATGTGGGCTGCATGATGCTTGTAGTACAGCGGCATCCATGACCGAATGACAACGCAGTACGTGGTCCCCCCTCTTCATACCAAACCATTGCCGCCCGGGATCCGAGACCAAGCCAACGCATCAGTCACTACTGGAAACAGTCTTTAGATCATCTCTCTGGTAATGTTGTCCACCGCGGTGCGATTCAGGGTGGCCTTCTCAAGATGAATGAATCCAAGAGCTAACTGATTCGTGTCAAGTACTCGCCAGTCGGAAATGTCTGGCTCAATCTCTTGGATGTATCATAGTCGGTGAATGCGCGCCTGAAATCTCTCTTGGATTTGAAAGGGTGTCCACTCAGCAGGCTGAGATAGGCAAAAGTGTCGGTCCAGTTATCCTCAAGTGGGATCATAGTCAACATGACACACACATCGATCCGGGATCGCAACTTCTTGACGGCTGCATACTTGTCGCTCTTGACCTTTCTGATCGTGTGCACCTCATCTACGATGAGGTACTTGGCCAATGGCTTGACAGGGCCCATGTCCCAGGTACCTGACAGCAAGGCAACTGTTGGTCTCTCGGGAGGGTTCACCTCTATGCCGCGTCTCTTTGCCTCGTCGTATTCTCGGAGCGACTCGAAGTATGTCTCCATGCGATTGTACTCATCTAAGAGATTTTCGTAGGAAGTTACAACGACCGTGTACTTGGACAGCTCCTCTTCTGTAGCCTCGGTGTCGTCCAGAAGCAAGACTGAGACGGGTTCCTGACCGCCATTATTGCATCGGTTAGCTAATGAACTGGGTGATATGCGGAGAAGCAACATAATGATTGTCATTTACCTCGAAGAACTTGTGAATCTCCGTAACCCATTGTCGTGCTACGTCTTCCACCGTAACAACCACAACAGGGCCACCTGCTTTGGTCTTCTCGGCGATGGGGACCAGTAGAGAAGACAGGGTCTTTCCGTAACGTGGGGGATCGCCAATGACGATACCGCGGAAACGAGAGTTCTTTGCTTGGGCAATTACACCTGCGGCGCTTGCCTGTCCTGGGAGAAGCCCGATCTCAGCCCTCAGATGCTTGATGTCTTCGAAGGCGGGAGCGTTGTGCTTGTTGTGCTATTCAGACGCTTGTGTCAGCTCGGCTTGGCGCCTTCCGTTATTCTTCCAGTGGGTTATGTGTTGGTTTGGTGGCTTACAATGTCCTCATTGAGACTTTCCAGAAAATCGACGAGCTCGTCATCGGGGATGATGCGGTGTCCTTCTTCGTCCTCGCTGTCATTTTCCTCACCATCATCGTAGTCGAAATCAAAGTCGGAATCGTCTTCCTCCATAAATGCAGTCTGTGGTGAGAAGCGAGGCTCTTGAGGTTGTTGAATCAGAACTGCTGTTGGCTGAATGGAAAGTGGTGATCTGTGGGTGGAAAAAGTGTGAGAAAAGTTGGAATGGAAGCCGGGCAAGCTTCACTTAAATAGTTGGGAAGAAAACCAAAGTGGGGATGAGGAAAGATCAGATTGTTCCAAGAACAATGAGCTTTGGATGTCACAGGAGGAAGGTGCGCGTTTGTCCACAGCTTGTTCATTGATGTTTTCAGGCGCAGGGAAATGTGGAAGGTACCTCGCAGTCTCGGTGAGAAGTTCCTCGACTAAACTAAGTGGATGTTGAAGCTGCAAAGCCGTTGCGCCGTTCCTGGCCCTGGTTTTGGTTGATTCTTAGTCTTACGTTCTTATTTTCTATATTTTATCTGTGGAAGCCGTGGCCTTATTTCCGTCGGAAGATGGTTGGGAGGAATCGGCAAACATGGAGACTTGTCTTTAGAGAACATTCGTAGCTGGCATACATATCTAATTCATGGATTTAAATCCAGAAAAATAGCGATTGTCTAAAGGTGATTATTAGTGATCTATTAACTCGAAACACCTGGAGACAGAGTTATGCATCGCATGGTGATCATTCTACATCCAGATATGCCAACACCACTCACGTCTTCCATGTTATTCGTGGACAACATGGGGCTATTCGAACTTCGGTAGCTCTATGAATGGACCATCGACAGAGCCACCGGGAATGCAATTGAATGAAGCCGGCGTGCCTCAACATATATACGACACACGGTAAGAAGGTGTATGCATCAACTGTGGATGAGAGAACCAGCCTCTTTCTAAGAGAACTTCTACCCTTCCATCCGATGTCTGAATAGAGACAACTTGTGTTCCTTCCCTCCCGCAACCGAGCACATCAACTGGTTTGACTCTTTGACGTATTTTCAGTTCCTGCCATCTTCATCAGCACATGCCTTCATATTTATATGCTTGGACCTCGACTCGCAACAAATCCGTTACTCGACCAAATTATTTCAACAACTTACTAGTTGCCAATGCCAGAACATCCTCGGGTCATTTACAGCAACCTTTCTTTGACCAGCTCAAAGTTGACTCCTGACTTTTCTCAATTTCCGGACTCCTTCTCCTGAAGCTTTCCATCACTCCAATAACTACAAGCACACCCGAATCTTTTCATCATCACAACACATCCCTTCCTCCACGCCAGTGCTTGAGCAACTCTTTCTCAGACTACTCACTACTACACAGACTTCTCATCACAAGCCTCTCCCACCCACACGTATCTCCTTCAATCAAAATGCCCAGAAAGAACGCCAGATCCCGCGGTCGCGGCGGTCGTGCCCCCAAGCCACAGAAGAAACCGCCCAACATCCCTCTCGAAGCACCTCCGCCCATGCACCGGCAAGTGGAGGCCCTCATCAACGCCGCCTACCCAGGCAAGCGCATGTCCAACGCCTGGGACGACCGCCGCGGCGACCTCAAGCGCCGCCGCACGTCGTCCGCCCTGGTTCAGCTGCCCTGGGAGACCCCCGGCCAGTCCAGAAAGAACCAGTTCGGCCAGAAGCTCGAGGACCCGCACTACAAGATGAAGCACCTGCTCGGCGTGGACGAGGGCACGTTCATGCTCCGAGGACTGGCCTCGCACCTAGACGGCTCCAAGGCCGCCGACGACCCCATCGCCGCCCTGGGCGACTTTGCCAGGGTCCCGGCCGAGGTCCGCGACATGATCCTCGCCGAGCTGCTCGTCTACCCCGACGACATCCGCGTGCTGAACAACTGGTCCCTCGTGTACGAACGCTCGCGCCCAAACCTGCACGTCGGCATCCTCAGGGTCTGCCACGTCTTCCACCAGCAGGGCGTGCGCATGCTATACGGCGCCAACACGTTCAAGTACCTGATCCGCGACCTGGACCCCCTGCACCCGGACGTGCGCAGCGTCGTCCTCGGCCACGTCTTCGGCCGCAACCACATCCCACTCGACAAGCACGCGCACCTGTTCCGGCGCATCCGGCTCGTCGTCGAGGCCAACCGCATGCACTGGTACGACATCCACGAGGCCGTCCCGCGCGCCCTGCAGCGGTTCCTGCCCGACACGCCGCTGCACACGGTCACCGTCGAGCTGCCGGCGCAGACGCGCGCGGCGCTGCACCTCGAGCAGACCAACGGCACCTCCGCCGACGACGACGTCCCCGTGTCTGACTGGTTCCGGAGCGGCTCGTCGGTCCTGCGCGCCCTGACGCAGCTCAACTGCCAGTTCATCCGCGTGCTGGCGCTGACCCACGAGCACGAGTGCTTCGAGGCCGTCATGGACCGACGCCCTCACTTCACCGAGCGCACCGCCGAGGCCGGGCGCTCTGACATGTGGAGCAGAGACGTGCTCATGCTGGCCAAGCGCAACGCCGAGGCCAAGAGGTCGCGCGCCCGGCTGGCGTCTCTCTGGTACTGGCTGCGAAAGCTGGCGGTCGACGATTCTGTCGACGATGGCCCGTTCCGCCCACATGTTGCAGAACCCGCAACGCCCGACCAGCTAGAGTTGCTCACTCCTGTCTCGAGTGGCAGACCGGCTCGACTTGGTACCAGAGCCGGAATTAATTACCACGTTGGTGACTTCGGAGGAGCAGACAGTGACGACGACTATGAGGATGAGGGCCATGGTCATGACGATGATGGAGAATCCTTGTTTGTCAATTAAGATCCATGATACTTGTTTTGGGCCGGCAAGTTGCAACTATGGATGACCCGACGATCTTGTCGTCCGGTGGTCGTCTGACATGCCCTTTATACTGCTTTCGATTTAATGGTTTGTTTGCTTCTTTTTCACTCAGCTCGACAAACCCGTGCATTCCTGCACTGCAAACTTCGGGCTTTTTGTTTTCCCCCGTGTCAATAGTTCTTTTCTGATGCGTCATTGCTCAGAAACGACACAAGGTTGCGCTGGAATTGCGATGTCTTTCCTGGGGATTTCTCAGCAAATGGCTTTGTCTGTCAAAAATCATTCTTATGGTCTGGGGAAAACGGGTACAGGGAACGGTGGGCAGCTTAATACTTGCTTTTATCCGTAATGCGTCCGATAGTCTCGGACTCATCGAAATGGTTCGGCCGAAGTAATATGAGACGTTTCCTTACTATAATGTTGCTTCGACTTTGTATCTGAGTCATGCGTGATCCATTTCGTCCAGATGTGTTGGTTGGTTATTCTGGTGTGTTTGTCAATTATTTCTAATTACAATGTAGCTATCTTGACCGTCGAGACATCCAGGGTTTCTGTATCTACTAGGACAATCTCTTTGGTGTCTTTGAAGGATGGTACTGTGATGAGTCG